CCTTGTGAGCAGAGTACGGATCATACGTCCACTGGTCCTACAACATACAGCTCAGTGCAACTATTTCGTATTGACAGGGGAGTAATTCCAGAAATGACGAGAGCAGAAATGCGAATAATCATTGCTGGGTACGCATTTGGAACGGATGTAGCGCTTCTATGTTAACGAAAAGCTAGGAAGGTGTCAGATTTCGCGACTGCAACTGCGATCGCAGTAGCGGACAGAGCGGGGTGCGATTCTGGTATTGCGCCAGATCGCAATCGCATGTGGCCCACCGCCTGAGCGAAGTCTGGGGGTGTGGTTCACTAGAACAGAAAGCGACTTTTTCGCGTTTTGCGCGCGAAACATTTTCGCTGCGGGAACTCTCAGGTCCACTCATGATCAGCGGTGGACCTGAGGTTCCTGCAGCGAAAAATGTTTCGCGCTGCGAAACGCGAAAAAGTCGCTTTCTGTCCTAGTGAACCACACCCGAAGTCTGACACCTATGTAACGTGGGATCTACTTGGGTGCTGTAGGTTCTGCTCTTCTATACGCATCTCTAGGTTCTGCACTGAATCTCTTCCTAAAATTCGAACTTCTGTCAAAGAAAGGGAACCAGAGTGCTACTTCGCTACGGGAGGCTCAGGTCCAGTCATGATGAGGGCTGGAGTTGAGGTTCCCGTAGCGAAAAGGTTTCGCACCGAAAAAAGCAGTGAACGCCGTTTACTGTCCTGTCAAGCTCTCAGAAAACCATGGGGCAAACCACACCTTGAACGTCGGCACTACGTCTGTGTGCGAATAGAGAACAATTGACGTCATCTCTGGTTGTGACCCCGGTATCGTCATGATAATGAATGGTTTACCAGGAACGGCCTGAAATGAAAAAGAAGTAAATACTACAGTGAGAAAGTGATACTAACTTAAGACCAAAGTCTAAGCTAATGCACCTACCTCAATGGCCTTTCTTGCAATTCCAAGTTCATCGGCTAGATCAAAAAGAAACTGCTTGCAGGCAGCTAAAGTAAAAGTATGAGCAGGGCTCTCCGGGCAAAATAGAGATCAGATCTTCCAGAGCAGAATAAACCCGAACAACAAGATTAGCAGAAGACTACCAACCTCTCATAGTTTCGCGCCAAACGAGCGTTTCGCGCGAACGTATGAAGGTATGAAAGCAGCAGATGACTAGAAGAAAAACTTCCGCTTACCCACCGTAGTCGGGAGTAGGCTGTTCAGTGTTTATCCGCAAATATTCGCGAAACTTCGTGACTGCAATATCTTCTTCTGCCATTGACGTACCTGAGCAATAATAAGTGAGCAAAGGTCAACGATTAACTTTACTCAGGATTCACGGAACAAGGAACAAATGGATAATCATTTATGAGATTTGCCGAAGTTGCATGAAATGTCACATAAAACTAGCCCCCCTCCCGGGCACGGTATATTATGCGACATTTGCAGTCTGAGTGTGGGTAGATCCGCACCAACCATTGGACGATCAATGCGTGCCAATTCTAGCAAAAAAAAAAAGCAAGATCGCGAATTTCCAGCCACGAATTGGCTAAAGCACAGACGTTTAGAGAATTGTGCATGGCTCGGCTCCAAATCCCAAAGAACAAGATGAGAGCTCTAAGACCAAGCCTTGAGGGAGTGGAGGGAGGGGGCTCTATTAAGTGAGTCCACTTAAATTAAGGCATCTGGCGAATTTCCAGCCACAATGCCTAAAGCACAAGACGTTTGGAGAATTGTATTCATGGCTCGGCCTAAAACCAAAAACCAGATATACTCTAAACCAAGCATTGAGGGAGTGGGGGGGGGCTCTATTAAGTGAGTCACTTACAGTGTGGCAACGGTTTGAACGAGTGAGACACAGTTAAGAGTTAAGAGCTCACAGTTAAGAGCCGCTGTTTAGGCGAAAAAGCGCAGACAGTGACCCCGCAATCTGTGACCGCGGCCTCAATGTAAGTTTGTTGAGCGGTGGGTAAAAAGGCAAGACCGACAAATCAAGGTCGAAGTGAGGAAGATCACATCCCTTAGCTTGATACTTCATCCTCACAGTATCATAAGTACAGGATACAATAAAAAAAAATTCACCCGAAACCTGTTTTCCAAAAGCCTTTTTTCGCCAACTTCTATCCACTTTCCGGCCCTCTCTGACTTCCTGGAACCGAGTTATGTTTCGTGGATAGCTCCGCCCACTTTGGTGCAAGCCCCACCCACCAATGGCTGTTAACCTTCCTTCTTAGTCAACCTCAATCCACTTTTTTCCCGTCTCTGTACGTTTCTGAAAAGCTCTATGGCTCACATGGGACGCCACCGATGGCCGTTCAAGATGAGTTGTACAGCTCTGTCTGCACCTTCAAATGCTGAATCTGAACAAACCACAAATTCCATATCTGCTAAATATCTTTTTAAGGGAATGAGATATGAGATGAACAGAGATACGGAGCGGAGGAGCGCAGCGGTTTTGGTCCAGACGATCGGACAACCAGCAGGTGCTGGGATTGAGTCTCTCAGGTGTTTACTTGTTTACCTTCATCGTAAACCTTTTAAGGTTTTTTAGTCGTTATTTCATCAATGCTCCTCTGTATTTACCCGTATAATGAAGTTTACGATGAAGTCTGGAGACCATTTGCCCATGGCTACTCATAGCCGCGACAATTTTAAGTGTTTTTAGAAATATTGAGAACAAAATCAAAAGACTAAACCCGCGAAGGGTCCGATCCCACGGGCATTTGCCCAAGAGCCTGCGCCATTACCACCGTGCTTTCCAGATTCATATCTCTGTTCAGGGAGTCGTTTGCCCGAATTGGGAGGTAGATCAGAAATCAGCATGAAAAGGCGTTTCAAAACGTACGCAAGAGTACACACCTCATCTTGAATGGCTCTGACGACCTGAGGGCCCTTCTTTGTTATTGACAGAAATACTGATATGATTCTCATGCATATCAGCCACCAAATGTTTTTCTTCATGTGCACCTCTTCGAGAAAAACAATCTCTCCAGAGGCCTTTGGGTCGACAAGAACTGAAGAAAAAAAAAACGAATTGCAAGCAATAAGCGGCGATCGGGGATATCTATCAAATCGGGTTCATATACATTAGGTAATTGAGGCTATCTTCTGGGAAATACAAACTGACGGCTCTTCAGAAAATGAGCAACTCGCGACGGAAGAGCGACGGTCGAGAGCCGTGGCAAACCGCAATCGATAGCGGCCACCGGGTCACTGATGGCAGGGCGTTCTCTTCCTGCAGTTACGATTTTTCCGGGCGAGCTGCGACCTACTGCCAAAGTTCACGACATTCGGGTCAATAACGACCAAAACATGAGGGGAAAGCTGTCGGCGTTGATCTCCCCTGTTCTGGAGTGCACCACGCACTCCACTTCTTTTGCAATCGTAGTGGCGATTGAGTGGGTACTGGACTCACGCAATGAACTGCGAAAGCCAGTCGAAATTCTCCTGCATCATGCAGTTGATAAGTGATCTGATAATGCATCTACACTCCCCCTGAATGCTGTTTCAAACAATTTCATTTCCAGTTCCATTCAAAAAACGATCTCCGAGCCCCCAGAAATAACTACAGCCACGGCAAATCAAAACTTCAGAAATTGAAGTGTTCATACGCAGAATGGAGTTTCTTTTCGCGATATTTGTAGGAGATTTGGTAGGGGAACTCAAGAGTAGAACTGTCCTGTCACCTTGATGATTTGTTGCAGACAATTGGGTTGGGTCACTAGGATGAGGGCAAGCACTTTTCGCGTGTCGCGCGCTAAACATCTCGCTTCTGGAAACTAGATTCCACTCCACAAGCCAGCGCATGCGACCTTGAGGTACCTGCAGCGAAAATGTTTTCGCGCTGCCGGAGACGCGGAAAACTCTCTTTCTGGTCCTACGTGGACCACACCGAGTCAATTCGTCTGCTAGATTCCGTCAGCCACGTCAGATGTGGGCGTCGCGTACCTGCAGCTGGGAGTTGGTTTTGAATGCAAACGGGTGAAAGTTTCTGCCGCCATTTACTGGCTCACTCACACAAAACAGAATCATGTAGCTGCCTTTTGTCCACTAAGCGTCTAGGGGACATTAGTTATCCTGCAGCAGTTACGTCATTTCTAGCAATACTCTCCTACTGAAGACTTCTCTTCTTGGTCGCTTTATACCTCCAGGTCCATCGGTCGCTGACCTCGAGACCAGCCCCAGCTCGCCTACACTTGCATAAGAGCCTTGTCACCAAAAAGCACAACTGGGCGCTTATGGGGATTATTGAAGTGAGTGAGCCACTTCCAGACTTAGGTACTAAGTTTTAGGGAGGGGAAAGGATTCTGGGGGAAGACGTCTGCAACTTTATTTTCCCTGGAGTTTCTCCCGTCTCCTGGCTCACTCCCACATCCACCGAAGAGCGCCTTCTGAATGCCCTGTCTTGAATGTATCCTATGGACATTGGGCGTCAATTCCAAGAACAGTGGGCTCAGTTTTTGTTGATGCCACATATTCTTCGTGAAGGAAAACAACATTACGAAGTTTTCATTTCTTCAAATTCTTGCAAAAGAATGCCGGGTTGTTGGCGGTGTGCCTCAGTTTTTCATCAACACCACTCGAAGCTGCTGGTCTCATGCTCGGTCAGTTGAGCTCACGTTTTCAGCTTATTGTTTGGGTTGTCTGTTGTGACATCAGTGCTATTTTCGTTCAGATAAGTCGTTTCAATGGACCCAGAATTACATCAGAATAAGCGTCTGAGAGAAATGTTTCGTCTTTTCCAACGCTCAAAAAAGCGAGGTGATAAACCGGTGAGTTCGCCCCACGTTGACGCCTAGCTGACGCTTCCTATTCGATCATACGACATGAAGGTTCTACATCATGGTTTAAACATCTTTCTTTCAAACCAAAACCGGTCGCTAATAAAACGACGGCGTGACCGGTTGCCAGCTGAAAGTTCTCAAGTCATTTGATGACACGTGACTGTTGGTAATATATGGGATCATTGCTCAGTGAACTTTCTGGAAATGGCCCTGGACGCTCTGTAAATAGCCGATACGCGTTGTAGACATAAGCGTTCTTTCCATGCTCCGCAATGTAAGGCCGCGTTCATAGTTCGCGACTCGGGAGAGATTAGGATAGTAGGCGACAGGATATTAGGATAGTAGTAGAGTAGGAGATTGCGCTGACAAGATTGGATACGTATCGATTGAAATCGCTGGAGAGTAGTAGATTGGGCGACTTCAAGCGAATAGATCAATACATATCTTTCATTGTCAGCGCACTATCCTAATCTCCGGAGTCGCGAACTATGAAGCAAGATAGTCGCGGCCTAAGATTTTACCACCAACCGACTGCAAAAAGTAGGCTTCAACGAAAGCGAGATTTCTACGCATGATGCTAGAGTTTGGTATCATCTTATCACGTCTTCGTCAAAGTGGGTAGGTTTCATTCACGGAGTGCGGTCATGACGACAGCGTCATTGCCCTCTGCAGAGTAACTGCAGCTCTCCCTGGTGGTCACCCAGTCCCTATTTCGACATTGGGAACATCTGCCTCTTCTGCAGCAAGCGATCTTCTACATTTCTCCTATGTAGGTACTCTAAACGGAGGCACGTCTACTGCGCAGGAGCGGTTCTGATATACTGGACACTAATTTCGACAAAACAACAGCCACTGCAATTACCACACACGGGGTGCTCTTTAACGGAGTGTTCAGAGTTGGCGATCGTAGTCCGATTAGCGATTCAGGCGACTTGGGGGCGATCGCTGCAGTGGGTGGAGCCCAACAAAAACAATCTCTTTCATCGCCTATTTCGCCTACACGCCTAATTGCTTTATCGATACGTAGAATTTTCTTCTTGAATCATCGCCTCATCGCCTAATCGCCCCTACGATCAGGGTCAACCCTATCGTTGTTACTTTTCGAAAATTTCGATACGCCCGCTGAAACGGCAAATTTTTATCCTGCGCGCCCTCCACTCGCCAGCCTACTACCCACGAAATCTTAGTTTCACTCAATCCCACACGTGATTTCGAGCGACTAAAGTGGGTACGACCCCCCTCCTACAAACTCAACCAGGTACGACCCCCCCCGTTGTTACTCGTAACAACGTAGGGTTGACCCTGCTTCCACGCCATCTAGAACGCTCCATAAGACGGTGGGATACGGTCGTGGCGCAGCTGCATTGCGCACGATCGCATCCCGTCGACTGGCATGCGGCTTCCCACCGGGGTTAACTGACCCTACGTTCGATCCAGATGGTGGGCCGTTGCGATTTTTGGGAAGGGATCATAATTGGGGTTCACAAAGGTAAGAAGTCACCTAAGCCCTACTCGACAATCATTTAATAGGAAAAAGTGTGCGGTGATGGAGCGTCCGGCCTCGGAACCAAATACTATGAAAACAGCTAGTGGTGAGAGAAGTGGTGGACGATGGTAGGGGAACTATTCATGGGTGACGCCACTCATATGTCTGTGGTGATAGGGGTCGTATCAAGACACACTGAGGGGAGTCGT